CTATCTCCGAGTCTCCTTCCAAGATGCCCCTGCACCTGAGTGCCCAGCTCAGCCTCAGTTTCCACCTACTCCAGGAGCCTCTGCTACCTCTCCCTGCTGCTGGGCAGTCAATGGCCTTCACTGTACTTCCCTCCAACCCCCAGGACTTTCTTTTCAGGCCTCGTCACTGCCGGCTGGACCCACTTCCGGGAATGGCCCCTCAACCTGTCTCCCAGCCTCCCTTCATCCTCCATGGGGCCATTCCAAAATCAGGGTCAGCAGAATACTATCCACACCCCCAAGGAGCAGCCACAGCCCTCTTGGGTCAGGCTCCCACCTGCCTCTCCAACTGCAGTTTCTACACTCCGCAGTCTCCATCCCATCCTAAGCACATATCCCACCAAACAGCCCTGCCATCCCACACATCGTGGTCCGTCTCCTGTCTGTGCCTAAAGAAACGCCATCTCAGTCCGTCAAAATCCTGTTCCACCTTCAAGGCTCAACTCATGTGTCGCCTTCTCTCTAAAGTCATTCCCAATCCCTGGCAGAACCCATCCCTTCCTCCTGGGCTTTCCTGACCCTTTTTAACATGACTGTTCCCGGCACAGCAAGTTCTGGATGTACCTGTTCATGAGACTGCCCTTCCCATAAGACTGGACGGCAGGGACCCATTTACTGAACTTTCGGTCACAAGCGTTTGACACGCAGGACATAAGTGCTTGTCTGACTTGATGAACCTCAAGATTTTAACCAGGATTTTCAGAATCATGCTCAACCCCTCCCCATCCCTCTTCCCCAGAAAGACAGATGCCACCCTCCAGCTCCACAGCGCTGTTCACGAGCTGGGACTCCACCGGGGAGGAGCGCCAAGGGCAGTGTCTGCTTTAAGAGGTGTATGAAACCCTCTCCCATCCCCAGGCCTTGAGAGCAAACCCTGTCCCAAGTGGCCTCCTGGAGTGTCAGAGAAAACAAGCGCTCCAAGCTCCAGGAGCTGCCTGGAGTTACTCAGGTGGCGTCTCTATCAGCCACACAAGGGCAGTGGCAGCAGAGAGCACCCGGGCTCCCGAGGTAGTGAGGGCCACAGAAGCCAGCACATGGACCTTGAAGTCTAGGGCTAGTGTCGGGGACACTGCAGATATGCTTCCAACGTCTGTTTCCTGCCATTCAGTGTGCTTGCTGGTCAGACTATGGTTGGCTCACTGGTTTGGTTTAAAAATATCCATGCCCAAAGGTTTTGTGCTCATTAGCACATCACCTCCCAGGTGGCTACAGCCTTAAAAAGACTTAAAACTTGTATTCCAGAAGCCACCAGAGACTATGGTGATAAGTCCTGATATAGCCCCGTCATTTCCCACAGCTCTGAGCTGTGGCAGAAACTACCAGTACTCATGAAAATACAAGCAGCCAGGGACGCTGATGTGGGATTTAGACAAGGAAGCCCAGGCTGGAGGCCCAGTTGTAGCTAAGTAACCTCTCTGAGTCTTCATTTTCTTGGAAACACAGGTTGAGTATCCCTAATCTGGAAATTTGAAATGCTCCAAAGGCTGAAACTTTTTGAACCCTGACATGATTGATGTGCAAAGAAAATGTGCTTTGGAACATTTTGGATCTAGGATTTTCAGATTAGGGATGCTCAGTGGGTAAATATAATGCACATATTCCCCAATCCAAAAGAATCCATAATCCAAAACCCTTCTGGTCCCAAGCATTTTGGATAAGGGATACTCACCTTACAGGTACATTTACACTGTCTTAAGGGATTAAAGGCAGAACAGCAAAGGAGAGAGAACAAGAGGTGTGGAGTACACAGACCTCATTTGAAAGCCAGCCTGCCTACTTAGAAATTAAGTGGCCTCGGGCAAGCTCTCAATCAACAGTGAGGGCTTCAATTTCTTCCTTGAAGGACATTTCACTTGCAAGATTAGGGAGGATATTAATAACGATAAAATTAATAATATAGAACATCTGAGGGCTTACCATGTACCAAGAATTGGACAAAGAGCTCTACTGTGGATTATCTCACTTAATTTTCACAACCTTGTATGGTAAGTGCTTTTACTACCCTCAGTTCACATTTGAGGACGCAGGCTTAGAAAGGTTAAATAACTTGGCCAATATCACGTGACTAACATGCAGCAGAGTCAGGATTCAAACCTTTATCACCCGACTTCAGGGTTCAGAACTTAACCACTGCACTGCAAATGTGTCCCCTGCATAGTGTACGTGTAAAGCCCTGGCCACAGCAGGCATCCAATGATACGATAAGAGATGAGAAAGGGAGTCAGAAACAGCAGGCATCCAATGATACGATAAGAGATGAGAAAGGGAGTCAGAAATAGTAGGGCATCACACCATTATGATTATGAGCAGGGAAAGAGAGTCGCAGTATCCTAGCAAAGAGAAACAATTAAAATCAGCAAAACATAAACACTTTCGACTTTACAGTTCTCATAGCCTAGAAGTTTCATTCCAAGTTCATCTTGCAAGGCCAGAGAGGTGATGTGAGAACAGACAAAGAATGATGAGCAAGCCGTCTCCCTTGGCGGTAGGCCCAGGCTCCCAGGGTCCACCCACATCCTCACTTGGGGCAGGCAGTGCTTCCAGTTCACAGGTGAGGGAAGCAGGGCCAGGTGGGAAGCTGGGACCTGGACACTAGTCGCTTTACCTCGAGTAAAAATAACCCCCCAAAGTGGGAATGCACTCCGCCCCAGCCATAGGGGCACAGGCTGGATTCCAGCACACCTGCCCTTCCTGCCTCAGGCCCTCTGTCCCCAAGTCCTCTCGGCCTGGGGGTGTGGCTCCACCTTCCAGGACCTGCCCAACCCGCCTCCTACAGGACTTCATCCCATCCCCAATCAGAGGGAATTCTTTCTTTGAGATGCTGGAGCCTGTGCCTTCTGCCTGGACCTGCAGCTCCCCAGCCACCTGGCCCTGGGCATGTCACATAACCTCTCCGGGAGGCCAGATGAGGCGGCCCATGCTGCCTAATGCATGGTGCTGTTGCAAGGAGGACCTGATCAGATGATGCATGTTACAGCGTCTCATAAGCCATTTCTACAAAGACCCTTCCAATGGCCGCATTTCCCAGCTTTCTTAACATAAATGTCGCCCAGCAAAGTGCCTGGCACAGAAAACATTCTGACACAAACAGAAGGCAGTTACTCTGTGCCACGAACAGTCCTAGAGCTTATAAACTTTACCTCATTTAAAACTTGCAAGGGCCCCATGAGACAGAGGTTACTGCCTTTGTTGAGCAGACGAGGAAACCTGAGTCAGAGTGAAGTGCAGTGTCTCACCTAGGGTTTGCCCAGTACTAGGGTATAAGCTTAATGAAAATAGCATTCATCTATTTTATTTAGAACTGGAGCCACAAACCTCAGGACAGAATCTGGGACATTACAGGTAGGGCCTCAGTAAATACTTGCTCAGTGAATCAGTAATGAAGATAAGATTGAACCCAGTTTTTTTTTTCTTTAGGTCAGAGTCTTGCTCAGTTGCCCAGGCTGGCTGTGATTACAGGTGTGAGCCACTGTACCTGGCCCTGAACCCAGTTTTTACAGATCCACAGCTAATGCTGGCCGGGTGCGTTGGCTCATGCCTATAATCCCACCAGCACTTTGGGAGGCCGAGGCGAGAGGATTGCCTGAGCCCGTGGGTTCGAGACCAGCCTGGACAACTTGACAAGCCCTCATCTCTACAATAAACAAATTTTAAAAAGTAGCTGGGCATGGTGGCATGTGCCTGCAGTTCCAGTTACTTGGAAGGCTGAGGGGGAAGGATCGCCTGAGCCCAGCAGGTCAGGCTGCGGTGGTCGGGAGTGTGCCACTGCCGTCCAGCCTGGATAACAGAGTGAGACACCAACTCAAAAAAAAAAGTGACTAATGCCCTGTCAATGATACAAGAATTGTGCTCTGTGAATATCCACTTTAATGTCTGAAAACTAACTTTCAGGAGAGGAAGCTGTTACCCAGACTGGAATAAGAAATAGGAACTTGCTGTGAGCTGCACGCTCCCCTGCCTGGTGTAGGACATTCTGGCCTGGAAAGGTCCCGAAGCTGCCCTGAGCCTGCCCCCCCGCCAAATTCAGAGGGTCCCCAGGGGCAGGGCTGTGCCGATCCCCATTTTAACCTGGCTACAGCCTCTGGAGTCTGAGGCTGGGGTTAAACACAGCCAATAGTAACTGCAAGAAAATGATTCTGGCTGCAGGACCCTGAAGTCTGGAGAATGATTTTTCCACGTGGCCTGTGGAAATCAATCTTGGGGAGCCGGGAGTGGAGACACTTAGCCACACCTTCACCATCATTTTTTCCCAGCGGCATACCATCTCTACTATTAGCTCCATAATATTTTTCTTCACACTAATCCATCTTTTTTACTTATTCTTAAAAGGAAACTTTTTATGGAGATTTTTAAAAAATCAGTAAAATAAAAACAAAACAATGAGAGTCAAGTCAAGCTCGACACTGTCCCTCCCCAAGGTTCTAAGCTTCAGGTGGCTCCCTCATTCAAGAGAGAAATTAACAAGTGTTAGGCATTAAAGACATATTAGTAAGAAACCACGACTCCCTCCTTGTCAGTAATCAAAAGAACTGAACGAAAATTGACTGTCTCACTGCATGATTCCACACAAAAAAGCATCTCTATGATCCCATCTGTTTAAAAAATGGAAGGTTGCTGGGCCTGGGGTAGAATAAAAACAGGGCTCCGGCTCCAGTGCTGCCACTACTGGCTAATGACCCAAATTCTTTATCTGTAAATGGCATCTTCTACTGAATGGTTCCTGTGAGGTTCAAAGAAGCAGCAGATATAAAAGGGCCTTACAAACTCTGAAGTGCTGTGTAAACATAAGGGATTATTAAAGCAGATGTGAAGCACAATCTACCAACAAGGCAAAATACAAGACTCAACCCCAAACGGCTACGAGGAGCCTTGCTTCTCTGGGCCTGAGGCCATGTGCACGATGCTGCCTGGAACCGAGAGAGGAGTGGCAGAGAGGAGACTGAGCCGGTCACTTACGTTGCCTGAATTTTGGTGAACTCGGGGACTTCTTCTTTTTTCTTTCTAAAGAGGAACCAGTAGGTCAGGAGACCCACAATGAGTGAAAACAGGATCATGTCTGTCATGCTGAAGAGAGACACTTCTTCGGCCGCCGCCTCAGACACCGTGGAGCTGGAGTCCATTTGGGAGTCCCCCATGTCGATCACCAAACTGTCAGGAGAGAGAAATGACAGGCATGAGCAGGGAGCAGCTGGAGGCACCTGAGGCTGGCTGGGGCGCCCACCTGAATGCTTCAGTGCAGGCCTCATGGCCCTGGGGCTGCAGCATATGGGCATTACACTGGGCAGGCTCCTGCCAAGACAGCTGCAGGCTCGGACCAGAACTAGGGCGTACAGCTGGTGCAGGCTAACGCTGGGGCTGGGACTGGCACTCAGAGAGATGGAAAGCCAGAGATTCTCAGTGCCCTGGAGTATTCTCCAGTCCCACGATGACATGGCACAGGGGTCGGTTCCACCAGAGAGGGGCCACTTTGCAGCAAGCCCTTTCCCCGACTGCACGCTGGCCTGTGTTGCCCCAAACCCTGCATGTTCCAGAGATCCTCATGACTGACCCTTGAATGGCTGGGAAATAACCTCTGAGCCTTGGAACACCCGGCCTGATGAGAGTGTCTCTGTCTATCTGAGACCTTGGGCCACACAGTCCCTGCTAATAGTGAGAGCTATGGTGAACACCTGGTTTCCTATGCTGGGGCTTTGAGTCACACTGTGTCCACGTGATGTCTAGGGATGCCGGAGACTGAGGAGGTAAGTCTTGAGACCTGGTACTCCAGGCCTGCATAACTGACCCCCAATAAACACGTTGGACACCACAACTCAGGTGAGCTTCCCTGGGTTGCAATACTTCATACGGTGTCACATATCATAGCTGAGATAATTAAGCGCTGTGTGACTCTACTGCGAGAGGACAACTGGAAACTCGCACCTTGTCTCTCCTGAACTCTATGCCCTTTTCTTTTGCTGATTTTAGTCTGCATCCTCTTGCTGTAATAAACCATAATCATAATCCAAAAGCTTTTCTGAATTTTGTGAGTCCTGATCCTCACAAGAGGGGATGAAGGGGGGTCTTGGGAACTCCCAACTCCCCAACCTAGTCCCGGAAAGATACTCAATCAGTTTGTCTGCCACTGAAGCCTAGCAGGTGGGTAGATCTACATAGGTCAACGACGGCCCAAGTGAGAGGACCTTTAACCTCAGCAGTCCACTTCCGCCGCTTAACAGCGAAGCTGGGCTTGGCCCTGGAATCTGTATCACTCCATTTTGCAATCACAGCTATGACCAGATGGGTCGCTTTCACCACAGTCAGGACGCCCATACTCAATCAGGAATGCCCTAGTCACAGCTCAGCAGTTGGGCAACGGAGGCCATCATATCTGACTTCCGTTGGTTGTCACTGCCTCCAGGAAACCACAGGCCTGGTCTAGGCCGCCAGAGCATCTGAGGGTTATGGGCATTAGTCCACCACCTTGCAACCTGCTGGGAAAGGGCCATTCAGAACAGGCCCACGAGCTCGGTTCTTGGCTTTCTCACTAATCGGAGATGCTTCTTCAATGACTTGACTTAACCTCAACTCAGCCTTCTTGATAAGACATTCAAGGACACACCGCGCTCTACCGTCCCCAGAGAATACTGTTCATACCTGGGTACTAGCTTATAAACACTTTGGACGTTTATGATGCTAGTCATGTCTGTCTTCCCAACCCTGTCAGGGTCTCTGTCAAGTCCACGAGCCACCTGTCACGCTTTCACAAAACCAGAAAGGCATCTTGACTCGCTCTATGGATTCTGGAAGGACCTGTCCTGCAGACTCACGAGGCCACATTTAAAGCCCGACTGGGACTCACTGGGTGTTCTGATCAGGAGTGACTTTGGTGACGCAGAAAAGCCCCTGGCTGGTTGGTGCCCGTCACAAAGCAGCAGGCAGTAAACATGAGCTACCTGTCCTGCTGCCCTCCTTGCTTCAACTCATCAGGTGACCCGGTCCCCTCATTATCCAGAAGAGGGGACGAATGCCCACGAAGCTAAGACGCAAGCTGACTGCACAACTCAGAAGTGCAAGCTCATTCTCTGCTGGTGGTTTCTAAACTGATGGTGCTGAGAAGCAGGGTCACAGCACACCTGTACCCACAGAATCACGTTCTTTCTGACAACACGTGGTTCACACCACCCAGACCACTGACTCCTGATGGGCGGGCCATGCTCCACACAGCAGCCGGAGGGATCCTTTAAAAAGTAAGTCAGAGCATGCCCCCTCCTGCCCAAACTCTCAGAGGGCTTCACATCACAATTAGCACAAAATCTAAAGTCCTCGCACAGCCTAGAAAGCCTGTTATGATCTAGCCCTTGGATACCACTCCCATCACCCACATATTTTACAACTCTCCTCCCTTCCTCACACCTCACAGGTCCCATGGCTTCCTTCTGCCTCAGGACCTTTTCACACGCTAATGAACTGTCCAGTTATTTGCAGGCTTGCCCCTCACTTCATTCAGGCCTCCACTCAGATGTCACCAGCTCAGAGAGGCTTTGCCTGACTACAGAATCTAAAACAGCTCCCTGGCCACTCTCTCCCACCTCACAGGACTTACCCCCACCTGGCATTTTTTCCCACTGGCCATCTCCCTGACTAAAGGGTCAGCCCCACAGGGCAGGCATTGCTTTGTTCACAGGCTGGCGTATAATGAGCACTGACTGCCAAGCTTGTTGAAGGCCATGGGTCTCTCTCCCCCACTCCGTGTGAGCTCCTTGAGGGAAGAACAGCACCTCAGGCGCCTCCATGTCTGGCACATGGTGGGAAAAGAAAGACTAGCAGGCGAGCAAGAAGGAAGTCAAGCTTGGAGCGTCACACTCCGAGTGCCCCGGCTGCTAACTCTCGACACCAATAAATCGAGAGGCAGAAAACTGGTCGAAAGAAGTTTATTTCTGAATTCAAATCCAGGGAGTGGAACCTGGCCTTTCTGAGATGGTTCTGCTCACCCTTCAGGTTTTACAGTCTGTTTTTGTAAGTTCAGGGCTGTTGGTACCTACACACCAACCACGTCACTAGCAGAGCCTTGTATAGGATTTAAGTTACAGCCGCATTTATGGTTCACAATTCCTGGCACTGGTTACCAGAGGTATCTCACTGTTTATTATCATTAACACCAGACAAAGGTGTTAATCAAGCTTGCCATAGAGTAAAGGGAGCTAACAAGGCCTAAGACATCATACATTCCTACATGTTGTTATACACAAAAGTCATACAAACCATAAGTCTTACGATTACCTTGACACCATATTATCTAAACCTATGAATACTAAGAAAAGGGGGTAAATGGGGATTTATATCTCTCAGTTAATGGGGAGTCTGCAGGGACATTAAGGACTCTTTGATGTTATGTACTGGGAGTGCACAGGAGATAAGAGGAAGCATTCCTTCTGCTCCCAGGAACGTGGGTACAGGCGGAAGTGCTCCAGCACTTGCCCTGCCTTCTCTAGGGGTTGTGGCAATATGGACAGACAATAGCAGGTCTCCGTGTCAGGAGGAATCCAAGGACCCAAGCAGCGAGCTTGGGGCTGAAGCCATGAACAAGCCCCCAGGTTAAGTCACTTAAACCATTATTCCCCCCCCCGAAATACACAGATACCTGCGCATCTCTCCAGCTTCACCCTGCCCAATTCTCCAGCCAGCATCTCTGTGGTCTTGCTCTCTAGGCTGGCAGGTGTCGGAGATGCTCTTCCTCCCAACGCTCTCTACTCACTCTCCGGAGCTCAGCTCCACCATCCCTTCTGTGGGGCACATAATCTAGTGTGCAGGAACTACTCAGGGAACGAATGAAGGGAATTCATGAATGTATCATGACACATGGCATGCAAAGTGTAACTGACCTGATAACACAGCATGAAGACCTCTAAGAAGCACTGGGCTTGCAGCGCACCTAGCTGGATGGCTCCTGTAAGACAGAGGTTCCCAAACTTTCTTGGTCTGTGGAATCCCCTGTATCTCAGGGTACCCCTGGGCCAAAAGAAATGCCTAACAGTTCCACATGTGAAGAAGTTAGGTCCAAACACCCATTGCAAACCCAGCTTTGTGAAGAGACAAAGTCATGAAAAGGAATGCAGCAGGAACTGTGGACACTGGAACCGTGAGCCACCCCAAGCTAGTGCATCACATGGAGTTTGACAGGCGTGAACTTCCACTGCGCTTGAGAATTCGGCATCTGTGAGTTTGCTGGGGTGCCCTGAGGCACCCTGGCAGTTTGGGAACCACCTCTGCTATGGGAAATATCTTTTTTTCGTGTGAAATGCTTTGATGGGAAAATTCTGGACATCCTGACAGATAACTCTCTGCCACATCAGGTGGGGGTAAATAGTCTGAGTCCTCACAAAGCACCCCAAGGACTCTGGAAGCCTGTGCAATCCCTCTGCCCTGGAAAGGTCTTTTGTCTGAGTTTCTTCTGTCCCTCTTCAGTGGAAGGGAACACGGGACAAGGCAGAGCACATGGGGCCAAACATAACATTTGTTAGCAATAGCAAACAAGAAAAAAAGAGAAAGAAATGGAAATGAAAAAACAGAGAGTAACTTCTTGACTAGACCAGGCTCTTACCAACGCCCTGCCACCAGCTGGACACACCCCTTACTAAGAGTAGCCTTTGATGTTCTCATCTGTAAAACTAAACTCAGCAAAGGCATATGTCAAAACACCAGCCAAGCAGGTCTCCCCTTCAAATATAGCAGATCTTATCTTTTCTTATAAATTAGGTCTCTACATAAGAGTTTTTATTTTGTTACAGATACAAAATACATAATCAGAGAAGGGCTAAAACTATACATGCATAGCCTGCCCATGACTCCCACTGAATCTCAGCAGCTGGCCAGTAACCCCAATCCCACATACTGCAGGACAAGGTGGACAAATAATTCACGGGGCACTCAGGCCTGAGGGCACTGGTAGGAGCTTTACCAGCTTCTGGAAGAGAAAATGAGGCAAGAACACAAGGGCTCTCCACATCAAACTGTTTGCATTATTGGGACAGAAGGTTATCTTCTGAGAAGTATCTGTGGCTTTGCATTTACTGCATGCAAACTTCTGGTCAGTAAACAGGATTGAGCAACCGACTCAGCACTGATGTCAGGGTGAGTCACCCACCTGAAGGGAGGGGGGAAGAGAAGAAG